CAGTAACTGCAGTAGCTGCCACCCTGCCTGCTCACGGCCAGCCCCGCTGTTCACGCGCTCGGGCTTGCGCACGCGCACCAGCCCGCCGGCTGCGGCCCCCTCGCACGGAGTAGGAGCCCAGCAGCACACGAGGGCCAGTGAGAGGTCAGGCCTGGCCACAGCCAGAGTTTCCTGGGGGCCGGCAGAGGGGCGTGGGGCAGCGATGAAGGGTCGTGAAGGGGATGAAGGGCTGGGCCGGGGTCTCAAGTGGAGGAAACCGTGAGGGGCTCTTAAGTGAGGATGGGCTTCAGGAAGAGAGATCCAACAGGAGCAATAGGGACCAGGGCAAAAAGCAGGAGGCCCCAGGAAGGCAGCCTCCAAGTGAGCAGAGTGGTTCCAGGCCACAGACACCGGGCTCTTGGGGGCACACCGCCCCCAAAGCAAAGTCAGACTTCCTCACCTCCACATTTCTCTGGGGTCTGCTCACCCCCTACTGCTCCAGCCCCACTGTCCCTGACTGCCTTTCGCTCCTCCTACAGCCCAACCGCCCAGACCGGCTCCCAGTTCCCTGCCACACCGTTGCCCACATTGCTCCTTCCACCCAGAACGCCCCCTCCAGCCAGTCCCACCATCTCCACAGACCTGGGTTCTGCCCATCCCTCAAGATACAGCACGAACGGCACCTCCTCCAGGGAGCCTTTCCCCTTTCTCAGCCTACCTCACTCTTGTCTCCTCACTCCCTCCTCTTCCTGCGCCACCTCCTTCTGGTGGGCCCAGACCCACTACAGAGGAAAATGAGCTCCTTGAAGCAAGGAAGCATGCCCCACACCTCACCTTTTTCCCCACCATCCCAGACCTTTTTCTGACTCACCATCCCCGATGACCAAGCTCAGTTATGCTCAAAAACACAAACCAGTCCCTTTCCAGGAGTAGGACACCCATGGGCACAGGCCACGCTCGGCCCCGGCCCACTAGCCTGGAGAGATGCCGCCATTCAGAGGGCAAAGCAGCACAAGCAAGGGGGAGGCATTTCTGGTGGCTTTCTCTTTTAGACAAGGGACAAGCCTTCTCCCGGTTTAACCCCCCATGACCTTTGAACTTCCCAGGAGGTCAGCAGCACGTCCCCTTCCCCAGCTGTCTTTCTGCCTCTGGCCCGATGGGAGGGAGGGCCCTAGGCCGGTTCCATTTTGCGCCCGTATTGATCTGTTGGCAGCAATGGGCTGGATAATTAGCCAGGAATTAGGGTTTCTATTACAGCCAGGAGGCTGCTCCAGCTGATTTATCACCTGAATAATTTACTGTGATTGAAAGGAAATTAAAATGAACTCCATTTGACAACTGTGAGCTTTTATGGGCTTTAGTGAAGGCTCAAAAGCCAGATTAATAGCCTGGTGTTGGTTAATAGTCTGCCGAGAGTAAATACGGCAGGCTGTGCTCCCTCAGCCTTCCTGCGGAGGCCGGAGGAGGGAGCGGCTCCCGCAAGGGGCAGTGCTCGGGCGACAGTGACAGCGTCACCACGAGTTTTACTCAGAGTCCACTGTTCAGAACATGCACGCCACCAGCACCGTTTAATCTTTTCTTTTTTACCGTTCTCCTTCAGGGTGATGCTTACTTCCTCCACATGGAGGGAAAACAGAATTGCTTTTTCAATAACCACGTTGAGAAGAAGTGTTTCTTTGCTCCGGAAGCGTGTGTGCAGGACACCCGGGGCCAAGGGATAACTAAGTGTCCATATAAAAGCGAGAGGCCCGGCCTGTCCACCCAGTGCGTAGATCTTGGTGGGAAGAGCGGCAAGGTAGGGGTGGGCGTGACTGGCAGGACCCCCACCTGGCCCCTAAGAGGAATGTTCTTCCCGCCAGTGGGTGGGCTGGGTAATTGAGGGGGATTTGACCACCCAAGCCCATGGCAAAACTCTGAGGATTCTGGAATAACAGACAGACTCTGGCTGCAAAAGGCCAGTTCTGAGAACCAGCCAGTTAGAAAACACTCCTGGAATCTTTCAGGGATAAGGAGGCCCGTGCAACCATCCAGCACAAGATGAGGACAGAAGACCTTAAAATCAAATTCCATCTCTGTGGCCTCCACAAAGTCCTGGAAGCTCCCTGGGCTGAACACGGGGGGCGGGGGGGGGGAATAATCTGGGGGAAAAAATGTTCCAGTCTGTAAAATGGGGCTCTACCACTCTTACCCACACTGTTTCATGGGCATTTCAATTGCGAGTCGAAGGAAGAGAGCATGGACGTGAAAGCCCTTTGGACACTGTACCGTACCACGCATGGGTGAGGAAGACCACTGCTGTCGAGCAGCTGCTGTGCAAAATCCCAGTTCCTGCCGCCACAGGTGTGGAAACTGAGGTCCAGAGAAAAAGCATCCCGCCCAACAGGCCAGAGCCGGGACTCAGTTTGACTCAAGTCAAACTCCCTCAACCCCAAGGCCCGGAAAAGCTCTTTCTTCCCCACAGGCTGCTCCGTGAAACTGACAGCAAGACCCCACCGAGGCCACTAGACCATGGAGACCCAGGTCTGCTCACATATGGAAGAGATGCCCCCCTTGACTGCCAGAGCTCCAGGCCCCCTTCTGGGTGCCACCACCAGGCCATGTTGCTCCGGGGCTCACCAGGCCACGCAGAGAGTGGGCTCATGCCCTTGACATGCACCCCCCCTTCCCGGGCTGTGGCCCCTTGCTTTGGCTGTCATTTGTCCAGTGACTGGGAACCGGGAGCGAGGGTATGTCATTCATAGTCCAGTGCCTGTATGTGTGCCTGGCAGCCCCGCGGCCTCACCTTCCATCTCTCCTCATTACGGCACATTACGGGGAGGTGAAGCAGATTAACCAGAAAGCACTGAGTCAGTCATTACCCCGCCACACGCTCGCCTGCAAGCCCTGCCTCGGAGCCCACACAGACACAGGCTCGCGGTCGCGTCCGCGCCGTTCTGAAGGACACTGCACAACAAGACTGCTAGGAATGGGGCCCTTGCAGGGTTTGTAATGCAGGTCTCCTCCCCGCCGGGCCCCATCTCTACATGAGCCTATCAGACCTGTCCCCCAACGTTGCCTCCTCTGTAACACCTCTCCCCACCCACCCCATGCTCCCGACTGAGGCAACCTCCCCACTCACCAGGGAACACAGAACCTTCTCTGTCGCCTTGCAGGTTCTGAATCCACGTCACATTGCCCCTGGGAGACTGTGGGCAGACAGAGCTGATGCGTGACTCATCCCTCCACCCCGTGGGTGCCTGGTACTGTGCCAGCCTCATAGCCAGCATGCAAGAAATCCGTTGGATGAGTGAACATATGAATGTCTGAGCGAGTGAGTAAATACATGGATGGCTTCTGGACTTCTACCAATTATGAAGCCCTACAGTCTCTGCCCAAATTTCCTGGTCATTCCAAGTTAAATGAAACATGATACAGATCTGAGTTTCCATGAGAATCACGTGAAACACGGAGGGAAACCCAGTCTCTAACACTGAACATCTGCATTAAGTTAAGAGGAGCTTAACACAAGCACCGGAGGCTTCATGCGGTAGAGGCCAGACTGAGTGTAGAGGCCTGAGCCCTCGCTCTTCACCACTCACTTGCTGGGTGACCTCGGACAAACCCTGTCCCCTCTCGGGGCCTCTACAAGATGAGGGGGCTGACAGCTTGCCTCTGCCGTCTCTGCTAGGTCTAAAATCACGTGACCTTGTCGGTGGTTAAAAGATAAATTTTCTCCCCGATTCTGGAGGGAAAGGTAGTCCACATCCAAGGGTCTCCTTTTCTTTCTCCTCCTGCGTCAGATGGAATGTGGCTTCGGCCATCACTCAGAAAGTCTGTTTGTGATGGAAACACTTTTTTCCTGAAAGCTCAAGATCTAGAGTGTGTGGGATCAGCTCCATCCAGCACACAGGACCACCTTGTTCCCGGATGAGATTTCACTTGTAGGAGAAAGACCAAAGTCTCAACCACAGTCTACAAGACCTGGCCCATCTCCCCAGCATCACTGTCCCCTCTCCCCCGTCCCTGTGCCCTGAAGCCCTGAGGCCGAGCCACGCTGGCTCTCTTGGCTCTCCTTCCATTCCTCACTCCTGCCATGCCCCCTCTTACCTCAAGGCCTCGTACTTGCTATTCTGTCTGTCAGGCGCACTCCTCCCCACCTCCACATCCCTTCTCCTGGTTCTGCCCCACACCTCAGGGCTCAGGCCATTGTGGCCTCCAGGCTGGCTCAGCCTCTGCTTTATTCTTTCAACGAACCTCAGACATCCCCACCTCAGCACCTAGGACATCTGTAATCCATGACCTTTCGGGTTATTCTTACTGATTGTGGTTCTTCCACATACCTCTGGGCTCCCTGAGGGCAGGTCCAAGCCTGTCTTGTTCACTGAAGTACCTAGTGCCTGGCTCCATGCTTTGCACATAGGTGATACTCCTCAATGTTTGTTAAGTGAATACATGACTTGCTGTGTGGCCTCAGGCAAGTCTCTCTGCCTCTCTGGGCCTGAGTTTCCCCATCTGAAAACAAAGTGGCTAGATGGTCTGAGAAAGCCCTCACAGGAAAGGCTCAGCCAGCCAGACTGTCATAAGATGGTGGCCCTTGAGGCTTTGCTCAGTCCTCACTACTCAACATCCCCTCTGGCATCCTTCCCCTCCACGGGAGCTTGTGCAGACAGCCTACATGGCTTTGAATGGTTCTGTGGGAAAACTTCAGAAGTGCCATCTAATGAGCATGTACAGGAAGCTCAGCGAGGACACCATTCAGTGATGGCAGAGCAGCCCGACCAGTCATGCCACTGCCCTCACCCCCACCCCACCAGGCTGGCCGGGGAGATAGAAGCACCGAGGCAAGAAGCCACCAGAACCCCAGACAAGTCCTCCTGACCCTGTGGGAGGCTGCAACTATCCAAGTTTGGCCGAGAACAACGAGAAGCCTGCCTCGGAGTAACACCTGGCATCCTCGCCCACACCCTGCCAACCGCCTGGGGAGGGCAAGCCAAGCCTGCGTCGGGCCGGAGGTCCAGCAGGCAGTGAGTCGTGGGGCATACCTGCTCAGGCTTGATGGGCTCTGTGGTGGTGAAGATGTCCGAGTAGTGCTGCCTCTCAAACACGCGGTCCAACACCTCCAGCTGCTGCTGCGTGAACAGGTCTCCCCGCATCTGCTTCCGGAGGAAATCTCTGCCCGGCAGCGAGTGACCGTTGGGCACTGGAGATTCCTGAATACCTTGGATGAGCAGGAGACACGAAGGGGGAGTGCAGGTTACACGAGTTGCTGAAGAACGGCATGTCCGACAGTGAGACTGGGAAGAAGGCCTGAGAAACCCTCACACCCACCTCCTCCCCTGACGGGAGAGGAAACAGACAGGGACTCAGCCAAGGGGCTCCTCAGCCAAGGGCACCCTGCCAGTCACTGTGGAGCCAGCCTCCCAGAGCCACGTGCCAGGCACCACACCAAGCCCTTTTTACATGCGTCATCTCATCCGAAACTCACAATGACCCCACGGTAGATAACATGTCCCCCATTTTGCAGATGAGAAAATTGAGGCCTGAGAGGTCAAGTAATTTGCCTGAGGACTGGAGCTCAGGTTGACTGGGAGTCTTTTTTTAAAGATTTATTTATGGGGCGCCTGGGTGGCTCAGTTGGTTAAGCGACTGCCTTCGGCTCAGGTCATGATCCCAGGGTCCTGGGATCGAGTCCCATATCGGGCTCCCTGCTCGGCAGGGAGTCTGCTTCTCCCTCTGACCCTCTTCCCTCTCATGCTCTCTATCTCTCATTCTCTCTCTCTCAAATAAATAAATAAAATCTTAAAAAAACAAAAAAGATTTATTTATTTATTTGAGAGAGAGAGAGCAAGAGAGTGTGTGGCGGGGGGGAGGGGGGCAGCAAAGGGAGAAGGAGAAGCAGACTCCCCGCTCAGCACGGAGCCCGACTCAGGGCTCGATCCCACGACCCTGAGATCATGACCTGAGCCGAAATCAAGAGTTGGACGCTGAACTGGCCGAGCTGCCCAGGCAACCCCTGAGTGGGAGTCTTAATTACCAGGGGCCACTGCCTCTTCTAGACTGAAGCTCCCCACCCCTTGAAGGTACAATTTCGTCCCAGAGCTGATGCCCTCACCCAGGACATTTGCCACCACACCACATGACCAGTCAGTAAAGCACTGTGCCGGGACAGCTGTAGAGAAATAGCCTTCACACAATTCTGGTGGGAGCCCATTGGTCACACACGCATGATAGACAATTTGACAAAAGCTATCAAAATCACAAATGCACATTTCCTTTGATAAAGCAGTTGCACCTCTGGAAATGTATTTTACCACTGGACTCACACATGTGGGAAGTGATCTATGTACAAGGTTCTAGTAGCAAAAGACTGGAAACAACGCAAGAATTGATTTGTAGGGGCTGGCTAAATAAGTTATGGTGTGCTCGCACGGTGGAATACTGGGCGACTACATAAAGGAATGAGGACTCCCGCTGTGAGCCAATATGGAAAGATCTTCGGGGTACACCGTCATATGAAAAATAAACCAGCTACAGCGCAGCATGTATAACGTATAACCTCCTGTGTAAGAAAAAGGAAGAAAATGAGACTTTGTGTGCCTTTTGTATATATATTGCCAAAGGAACTCTGGAAGGCACCATGAGCAACATTGAGAGCAGGAGGTGAAGGGAGGGACACTCCTCATAGCATGCTTTTTGTTGTGTTTTGTCTTACTGCAGAACTTTCAGTGTACTACTACTGCCTACTCAAAAACATGAATTATCAAGAAACTACAGGATCAAATTCTCTCTGTGTTCTGTATTGTTAGCTCTTCACACTGTTACAGGCTCTGGGGATGATGCTTACATTTCAAAGAAAATATTATGAGTTACCAATAAAAAAGAAAATTGCGGGGCGGGGGCGGGGGTGCGGTGCCTGGGTGGCTCAGCTGGTAAAGCGTCTGCCTTTGGCTCAGGTCATGATCCCAGGTCCTGGGATAGGGCTCCCTGAGCAGGGAGGAGTCTGCTTCTCCCTCCCCCTGCTCATGCGTGCTCTCTCGCTCGCTCGCTCTCGCTCTCTCTCTCCAACCCCCCAAATAAATAAAATCTTAAAAAAGAAAAAGAAAGAAAGAAAATGGGATGAAATATTTTTGGTGAGCCTTGAGCTTGAACCATTCAAAATGAAAGACAGCAAGGAGGGAAAAGTTTCCAGCAAGGAAATGGCCTCCAGGGCTCTCATCCCCAGGGGCCCTCTAGGACCCCGGTACTCATGCAGGGCTGACCTCTAGGACCCCGGTACTCATGCAGGTCTGACCAGACACTGCTGGACCCCAGGCCTCTGCCTTGGCCACTGGGAAGCCCCAGGGGAGACCGGCACTCATCAGACCTCTCGCTGGCAGGTGCCCTCACACAGGCCTTGCCCGAGTCTCCCCCACATCCCACTCTGCCAGCACATGTCGCCCTAGACCTCATCCATCATGTCGTGTGAGGAAGGAGGCCAAACCAAGGAGCTTGAAGCAGTGGGGTGCTGTGTCACTGAGATGCTGCCAAAAGTGGGTGTTTCCCCAACTGTCCTGCCTGGGGGCAGATGCAATGCAGGGTCTGACATTTGAGCAAAGACATCAGCTGTGGGTGTTCCCATGAATACTGGCCTTCTAGAGTCCTCCATGGAGGCTGACAGCTCCGAGCACCCCAGGATCTCTATAGGAAGGGCCTTCGGAGGCAGCTCATAAAAGCCCCTGAGAAAACAAATCGCACCTCCATGTTGACCCAAGAGGATTCCATAGTATAGGCTACAGCCTGAATGACCAGATACCCCAACATGTGGGCCACGATGGAAGCTGGTCTCGCTGGCTGATGTCCTCCAGCCTAGAGTTTGGGCCCCTCCTCTGGCTACCTATGACACGAGTCTTCCACAAGACTGGTCCCTGTTCCTGCCCATGGGACATCATCCTCAGAGTTCCTTTTACCATCATGGCCTATCCCCGTGGGGACCATTCCTACAAGGGCATCGAGACTAGCAGAATGTGGGAGCTCAGAACCCTGTCCATGCTCTCCCATTGGTTGGCATCTGCCAAATGACCCCATTATCAAAGGTACACACACACAGGAGGACACTCATCTTGCTCCTCCTCAGCTATTGCTCTGGCCTGTCATCCTGGCCCCAGTCACTCCTACTGAACTGTGACCTTGCCCTGGGTTCCCAGTGCTCCCATTGAGTTTCTCCCTGTCAGAGACCACATCCGCTCTTAAAAGACTTCTCTCTGTCCACCAACTTCACTTATACTCCTCAGCCCCAACCTGCCAGCCAGGCCCAAACTCCTAATGAAGGGTCCTTCCTGTCAGCCAGTCCCTGATGACTCCCACCAAGGTTTCACTCTGCCCCCAGTTGGGCAGTGCCCATCTCTTCCCTCCTACTCAGGCTGCTCCATCAGACACGCTGGCCAGGCCGTCCTCCCCCAGACGTCTTCAGGCTCGATCCCTCCGCCATGGGATTCACAGAACTGGGCTCTTTGCACAGCTCAGAGTTCTAGAAGGGCACAGCTTCACTCCCACTGAGGAAGCTGACAGTGGCTCTGCTGAGGGCTCCTGTGGGCAAGGTCACCATCTGGTCACTGAGTAAAGGCTCAGGGCCCATGGCCAACTCAAGTGTCTGCACCAGGGGTCCTTGGAAGCCTAGCTCTCTGAGGATAGGTTCACGTTCTCCAAGCACAGACAGCCCAGTGGGGATCCAAGCCATCTTTTAGGAAGAAGAATTACTGCATCCTGCTTTGGCTTTCTGAAAGTCAACCACAGCACCCATGGGCCAAGTCTGGGAGAGGGTCCAGGCTGTCTTGGTGACCCAGAAACTCCTAGTGGAGGACAGTGAGCTGGAAAGAGCCACCTCCCCAGGCGTGTGCCCTGACCTATGATCCCTCCCGCTGTCCCTGCCCCTCCAGCAACCCCCTTGCTTTCTCCATCGGGGAGGGAGGTGAGGTAGGTCTACCTTGTCACTCTGCACTGATGCCTGACGTTGGTCATTTCCTGAGGAGGCTGGGACACTTCTACTCATATAATCACTCATTGAACAAATACGGATGAAGTGTTTACTCTGTACCAGGTGATGTTTGGAAAAAAACAACAGAGGATACAGTGATGACTAAGACAGACCCCTCTTTTCAAACTAGAAAGAGCAGCTCGCTTTGGTAGATACTCACACAGACATATGGCTACAAACTGTGATTACTGCCAAGTAGAAAAAATGTCTAGAAACACATGCACAGGACTATGGAGAATGAGGAAGAGCTGTGACGGCGCAGGGAGGAGTCAGGGAAGCCTTCCACGGGAAAACAATGCTTGAACGGAGAGTGGAGGACAAAGGGTCAGCTGGGCAAAGGGGGTGGGGGTGGGGAGGGCGTGCCAGGCAGAGGAGGCCCCCTACAAAGGCTTAGACATGAGAAGGAGACGAAAGGCACCGGATGGTGAGGGGAAGAGACCCCAGGGGACGGCGGAGAGGCAGGCGGGGGATGGCCAGGCAGCCCCGGAGCCCACAGAAGGCCACGGGGAGGATCTGAGTCCTGTCAGGGGAGCACCGCGGGACCACGGGAGGGGCTGGGGAGCAATCACCCTCCCCATTTCTCAGTCCTGGTACCTGAACTGCCCATTCCTTTAGGTTAGGCTGTGCCTTTGAAGCCCTGCTCCCAAGCCTCAACCTTTGGCAAGACTCAGGGCTGGCAAGGTGAAGTTTGCACTAGTGGGCATCTGAATGTGATGCGTGGAGTCAGGCAGTCACCCACAGGTCATCCACCCGGCCGCTACGGAAGGGAAGCCATTCCCGGTGCACATGCGCACTGTTGCCAGGACAGACGCAGCCTGTGAGCACGCGTGCCTCCTCCTCCAGGATGCCTCCCTTTCTGCTCCAGCTGCTTCATCTTCTACTCTTTGGGCTCTGACCACTTTCTCCCTTTTCTTAGGAGTCAAGCCCACCGGGCCCCTCACTCTGACACTCCACTATTAGCTACCTCAGGGGAACCCACAGTTAATTCATCTCTGTCTCCTCCATGGGGAATATTTGTGGAATAAATGAACAAGTCAGTAATAACTGTGATGACCACCTTCATTCTGCAGGTCTGGTCTGCAAATGCCAGCATCCCTCTATCTGACCTCATTCATTCAATTATTCATTCTTCTCTCTCTCTCTCTTTTTTTAAGATTATTTATTTATTTGAGAGAGAGAGAGAG